TCATGGGGAAATCCACAAGATGGAAACTCAGTGTAGCTCCAAAAGAAAGAGCAAAGAAATCAGCTGTTCCCCTAACAAACTTCTTCTCTGCTTCAGTAAATTCTGGCAGCACCAAGGACAGATTATCCTTCATGCTCTGAGGGTAGTCTCCATCAATAAATAGAGGCTTAGCAAACCAGCCCAATACGAAGTCCAAAGATTTCTGACATTCCTTTATATCTTCTCTAGTCATCTTTTGAGGCTCTATCCAGTGAGAACTTAAGGCAATGGACACTTGACCTCCTTGAATCGCTCGGAAATGGTTGTTGTAAAGGTGCCAGACTTTGGCATGAGCCTGTGGGAAAAGAAGAACTGTTTTATTTCATTGGGTTTCCTTTTATGATTAGTCTGAAACTTGCACACCACCGAGTCTCCAACAATGGTTCTCATGGCTTTAAGAAAAACTATTTTAACATCTATTCCACTCTATCTGTATGTGCCAGGGCAGGTAACAACACTTTCTTTAAAAAGCACAGTAACTTTCTTTTTTACTCCTGGTGGCATTTGCTTTCATGCAGCCCGGAAAACTTTCTTGGCCCCATTTGAAAATTGAAGTCTTTCATACCCGTCCTTGAATGTTTAACTTCATTGAAACTTGACTAAATTAGGGAAGAGCCTGTATTAAAATCCAACACCCTTCCTTAAATGTAAACTCATGTTTAAATGACAGATATATTTCACTGCTTGCGCACTCCTTCCTTATCCCTGTTCAAGTTCCCTTCTTCTCATCCTCTTTTGCCCTGCTCTTTTCTTTTCCATTCCTTCCTTCCTCTTTATTCCTTTCTCTTTCTTGAGTCCCTCTCTCCTTACCCCACCATACCACATGCTACTTTTCCAACAAGCTTTGAGGAGAACAAAGAAAATGAGAAGATGGAGAAGCTCATAGGGTTGCCAGGTCCCCTCTGGCCACCAGCAGGGGATGAGGGCCTAGGGTTGCCAGATTCTGGTCGGGAAACTCCTGGAGAGTTGGGGATGGAGCCTGGGCAGGGACCTCAGTGGGGTACAATGCCACTGAGTCCACCCTCCAAAGGGGAACTGTTCGTTGAGCTGTAATCCGAGGGGATCCTCAGGACCTACCTGGAGGCTGGCATCCCTAGGGAGCTGCAAAGATGGCAAAGGGAAAGTGGACTGATTTTCATGTGCTCCCTAAGAAGTACAAGCAGTAGCCACAGTTCAAAAGACAACAGGTGCCTGAGCTCACAATGAAGAGGGGGAGGAGATTGGGTTTATACCCCGCCCTTCACTCAGAGTCTCAGAACGGCTTACAAACTCCTTTCCCTTCCCCTACCCACAACACTGTTATGTATTGGGACTGAACCATTCCAGGTATGTCACATCAGAGACTGGCTGAACTTAGAGCACAAGAACAATAGCCTACCAGGACTCTGGAAGTACCCAATCAACTAGTAATGTTATGCAAATAGCCTATCATTGGGAGTGGGATGTGTTTGGGTGTGGCAATTGCATGCCATTTAACAGAGCTGCAGTTCTAGGGTCTTGTCTTGCTGAAATCACAAATAAAGTTGAGCTGCTCCCTGGAGCCAGTTTGGTGTAGTGGTTAAGTGCACGGACTCTAATCTGGGAGAACCGGGTTTGATTCCCCACTCCTCCACTTGCACCTGGCTGGATGACCTTGGGCAAGCCGTAGTTCTGACAAGAGCTGTCCTTGAAAAAGAGCAGTTTCTGTCAGAGCTCTCTCAGCCCCACCTACCTCACAGAGTGTCTGTTGTGGGGAGGGGAAGGGAAAAGAGTTTGTAAGCCGCTCTGAGACACCTTTGGATAGTGAAGGGCGAGGTATAAATCCAATCTCGTCTTCTTCTGGGCTCGAGCCTGCTCATCCATGGAACCCACTATTTAACAGACACCCTGTGAAGTAGGTGGGGCTGAGAGAGCTCTTTTGAGGACTGCTCTTGAGAGAACAGCTCTGACAGAACTATGGCTTGCCCAAGGTCATCCAGTGAAGGAGTGGGGAACCAAACCCGATTCTCCCAGATTAGAGTCCACCCACTTAACCACTACACCAAACTGGCTCCTGTGGCTGTGGCTATTTTCTTGAAGCTACTTCACTGCAACTACAGCTCTATCACCAGCAGAAAGGGGGAGGCTTGGCCTCTCCAAAACAAAGCAAGAGTAAATCCAAAAAGAGCCAGAACAGACCAGGTTGGGGTGGGGGATAACAAATGTATAATCCACAGTCTCAGCTAAGGAAATCTACCCCACTAGGGCTGCCAACCTCCAGGTGGGACCTAAAGATCTCCTGCTGTTACAATTGATCTCCAAATGACAGAGATCCGTTCCCCTGGAGAAAATGGATGCTTTGCACGGTAGACTATAGCACTGTACCCTGCTGAGGTCCCTCCCTTCCCCAAACCCTGCCCTCCCTGGGCTCCCCCCTCCAAATCCCCAGGGCTGGCAACCCTAACCCCACCCTGCAATGGTCCCCAGGTGATTATTTGCCCTGCAGGACTGCCTACAAAGCCACTAAATCCAGAGCAGGGTTGCCAGCCTCCAGGTGGCTGGAGATCTCCTGCTTACAACTGATTTCCAGGCAACTGAGATCAGTTCACCTGGGGGAAATGGCTGCTTTGGAAGATGGACTCTATGGAATCATACCCCGCTGAAGTCCCCCCCCCAATCCCACCCTCCTCGGGCTCCACCCCCAAAATCTCCAGGTATTTCCCAACCCTGAGCTGGCAACCCTAATTCAGATATATACAAGGGGGACCAGCAATTCAAAACAGTACAATAATAATGGTGAGAAATTGCTGTAAAGTTCACAAATCACAATGAATAGACAATAATAACTAGTACAGAATTGACGCTTGTTGATGTTTATAATTTCTATGTTTTCAGAACACAGGACGTCAAATACAGAAGGTGAGCGATACGAACATCTCGGGTGGTTGTTCGTTTCGAGACAACTCTTTTTCAACCAAATTCAGTTTTCTGGTTGTCTTATTGTGTTTAGCTGTGATATCAATCTTATCCACCATCCGTAAACAAGTCTGTTATCCGAATTTAGAATTTGTTAGCCCTTGTGCTGTTAGAACTTGTTAGCCTATGTGCTTTACGGATGGTGGATTCATTGTGATTTATAAACATCATCAAGCGTCAATTCTGTACTAGTTATTATTGTCTATTCATTGTGATTAGTGAACTTTACAGCAATTTCTCACCATTATTATTGAACCCTAATTCAGAGGCAGTAAAATGGACTGTGATCGTGATCCAAATTTGGCCCTGAACAGCTTATGAAAAGAAGTTCTCCACAACTCTCATCTGACTACAGGGAAAGCAAGTCTTGGGCAAATGTATCCTTTAGTTTGGTCTTCTAGGTGGGTAAAAAGGAAAGGGTAATTTAATTGCTGAATGTAATGTTATTTTCTGCTTCAAGCAAGTAGCTTTTGTTTAAGAGAGCTCGATGAAACCAGTTGTTTTTGTAAGCAAGCTCATTGCTCTGTAGGGATGGATGTGTAGAATGGCCAAAAACTTTAGCCCCTTTCAGTCATTACATTCCTGGCAGTTTGATCGCATGAACTGCATGGGGAGAATGGTGTATGCTGATCTGAGTTCCTTGGAGGAAAGGTGGGATAAAAATGTGTTAAATGTATAAACTGAAGAAACCGCTGCATTTCCCAAAGAGGAAAGAAAGAGATATTCTATCTGGCTACTTTACTTTCCATGTGAATTCAAATGTGAACCTATATTCTTGTATACGGGAACAGTGTCACCAACCAAACAGAAGAAAAGTGTGTATGAGAAAAACTGTACCATCACAAAACTACCATTAGTACAGTGGATGAGAACTGAAAAGGCAGATAAATCTCTTAGTAAAGGAATAATGACAAGTTATACATCCTCACTCCCCAGATAATCGCAGTTAAACTTTATGTGGGATGATTAAGCCTGTACTCAATTTTGAGAAAACAGCTACACTAAACTTACACCAGCATCTGAAAGGCAATCTGAAGTACCACATAACATGGAAGGTATTATTGAAAACTTACAAATTTACATGTGCTGTATATTAGTTCACTACCTGCAGTAATTTCCCAGGTGATGACTTAAAACATGAAAAAGGAAAAAAAAGAAAAAAAAGATAAGCAACACATTGAGTAAACTTTGGTAAGATATTTGGACAGGAACTACCTCACTTTTATCTGTTAACTATTACATTTATACCACACTAGTGGATTCTTTTTGTGTCAAATTGTCCCTGCATTCCTAATTCCTGCTTGCTGCTTCCATTCTGTTTATCTTGTGAATTCCTTTTAGTAAAAATACACACAAAAATGTAGCTTTGTAGACTTCTCACATATTGGCCTGAGGCAAGCTAAGTAACAATTGCTTGCAGGGGAAACTGAACTAGTCATGTTTGTCATCCAATTCTTAAAAAAAAAAAACTGTCAAGAGATTTACTAAGGACCATTGTGAAAATGTGAGCATCTGGGACTCCATGTCTGCCAAACATGACCTTCATATGACCTGATTATAATGAAATCTTTGTTAAAGTCAAGAGTTCAATGTATAAGGAGAATGGTCAAAAACTTACCTCAATAGCACTTCCAGAAAAACAAATCCATTGCTACCTGTCACCAAGGTCTAGCAGCTACCTTTGCAGAAAAAAAGCATTCTTATGGCTGTTTATTACTGTGAATTCCTTGAAATTTTCTAAGATCTGTATTTGTATGCTTAGAGCTGTTACCCTGCACTTAGTAATTCCCTGGTGCCCTTAACAGAATTTTGAAGCATCGCTTTCTGGAAGCTGTGGTAAGAAAGAAAGACCAGCAAACAGTTTTAAAGTTATCCTTCATTGGAAGGCCCTTCTTTACTGAACTTAAAGGTAAAGGTAAAGGTTCCCTTGCTCGAAAGCCAGTCGAGTCCGACTCTAGGGTTGCGGTGCTCATCTCCGTTTCAAAGCCGAAGAGCCAGCGCTGTCCGAAGACGTTTCCGTGGTCATGTGGCCGGCATGACTAAACACCAAGGCGCACGGAACGCTGTTACCTTCCCACCGAAGTGGTCCCTATTTATCTACTTGCAATTTCTTGCTTTCGAACTGCTAGGTTGGCAGGAGTTACTGAACTTACTCTCTGCTAAAATATTAAACATATCATAGAACAGTGTTCCTGGATGCATCAGAAAATTTTGCCAGGCTTAGGTATTCTTTCTCTAACTGTATTAGCCCCATATAATTAAGGCTTAAATATAAAAATGCTTACTTAAAAAAAAATAGATTTACAGACATTATATGCTTGAATTACATCTCTCTGAATTTTAAAGGTTCTTAGCCAACAA